CACCATCTGTTTACTCTGAAATTCTGCCTTGCAACCATCAGATGGGCAAAGATGACAAAAAGAGAAAACACAATTGTTAGAGAGGTTGAGGGAAGATAGGCACATTAATATGCTTTTTGGGGAGCAGTGAATTGGTCCAACAATTCTAGAAAGCAATTTGTAGCTATACTGAAAGAGTTATTAAACTGTATATATTCTTTAACTTAACAATAGCCACCATTAAGTAGGCACATACCCAAAAAGAGCTCAAAGACAGAAGAAAAGGACCCACAGGTATTCAGAGAAGCACTCTTTATGGTAGCAAAGAATAAGAAACTAAGTGGGTGTCCATCAACTGGGGAGTGGCTGAATAAATTATGTTACAGGAATATAATGGAATATTATTATACTATAAGAAATGATAAATTCAGAGAAACTTTGGAGGACTTGCAGAACCAGGGAAACATTTTTACAGTGACTACAGTAATGTAAAGAAAGAGATCTTTGAAAGGCTTAAAAACATTAATTAATGTGACTTCAAAAGACTAATGAAGCAAGTTTCCTACTTCTTGTCAAAAAGGTGATAGACTTGAGGTGCAGAATAAGATTTACATTATCAAATAAAGCCAACAGGTACATTTGTTTTTCTTGATTATACTTATTTCTTATAAAGGAAGATTTCTATGGAGGGACAAAGAAGTTGTGAAGTAAGAGAGTTGATGAATAGAGATAATGATGTATTTTTTAAAAAAAGAATATTAAAGAGACATTTTAAAATACACAGAAAAGAACAGGGCAGGGAAGGGGAATTTCAAAAGGAGATAATATCAAAGTAGTGTTGTTGCTATCGCATTAAATTTAATATGTGTTTATAAAACAAACTACATATAATGGAAATTCATGGTTTTATCCGTTTTTCTGTTCTTTGTATATTTAATTGTTCATGTTTATTGATGTTTGATAAGTTTGTTAAAAAAAAAACTTTTAAAAAAAACTGACCACATTTCATGGGTCTGTAAGACCTAAAGATTCATCAGCATACAATTAATTTGCCTCAGTGCAAGTTGGCAGGGAGATCATACACACCCAGAAGATACCCCATACAAGGAAGGATATTTGTCTCCTAGCAGGAATGCCTGAGGCACTGGTCCCAGACTGGGTCCTGGTGGCCAGAGGGTCTGAGGACTTGATGGTTATGCATGACTAAAACACTGTTGTTTTTCTCATATAGTTTGGTGAAGAAAGGGAGAATAGACCATCCTTCCACATAGTGCAATAGATTCTTGAATGTGGGGGTTCCAAATCCTGTGAGTTCGGAATTAGAGGCCCTATTCTCACTGGTTCAGTGATGGAGAGGGAAAGAAGAAGTGCTGGAGCAGGGACTTAGGGATCAATGATGGCCTTCTTTTACCTGGGTGCTCAGTGGCCACACAAAGCTGAAATACTGTAGCTTTCTTAGCAGTGGGGGGTAGACTAGATCCCTGGCTCCTCATGTGGCAACTGGCTCCACCCACCTGCCCATACTTCCCAGAGTACTCAAAGGTAATGGAGCATTGAGATGTTGCTTTTAGATGGTTGCTTCATATGGTTAAGTTATACAGTGCCAAGCAAATATTCCCTCCACAATTGGCAGTAATATACAAGCAACCAACACATCAACCATGCCTAAAAGTACATGAAATACTATAGATGGAAAGTCAATATGTCTATCTTTATCATGTATTTACAGGCTATCCCAAAAGTCTTAGTGCAGTTTACTACATTTTATCAATAAGATTGGGTCCACTTTTAAATAGATTTTGGTATTTCATCTATTGTATATACTGAAAGCATAAGGGGGGGGGGGGAGTGACTCAGTCCAGGCAGTAAACTGCACTAGGACACCCTGTACTCTAGAGTGCTAGACCCAAGGACATTAAAAATATTTATAAAAGGCTATGACTATTCTAAAACACTTATCAAATTTGATCAAAATTATTTACCATCATTAAGAATTCTAACAAACACAAGTTTGGAGCATTGAAAACAAAGTAGCTTTTACGTCTCTCCTTTCATTACAGAGGTGTGGGACTATGTATGTGCAATATTTTATGTACTGTTAGACACAGCTGATGTGTTGGTTGCTTTTTATACCTCTTTCTTTTAAATTGTTTTTAAATTCTTTAAATTTTTAATATTAAAAAAAGTATGAAATAAAAACAAAAGGTAACAATAAAAATAAGATAATTTTTTAAATCAATTTTGAACTAAAAGAACAGTGTATCTAGTAACAGAGAAAAGAGTTTTCATTGTTGGACCAATCAAGATAGCCTTCATAGTGAATTTCAATGTAGAGTTGGAATCCTATAAAACAAGAAAACATCATATGGTCAAAAGGTAAGCTCTGAACTCTTTCCTCCTACTCATGTAATATAAGGATCTTCTATGTTGTCACTGAAGTGAATCCACAGAGTGCCTAAGTTTTTAGTTCTTTAAAGTAAATGTCCAAATAGTTTCTCTGAAGATTAAAAAAAAAAACTTTCAGGGATGAAAAGAATTTTCATCAAAAGCTAAGAATAAGCACAAGAAATTTTAGCTCAAGTGTAATCAAATTACATCTGTCTGATAACTGGATTACACAATGAAAGGGCCTCATCTACCCCCATAAATGAGAATTTTGCACAAGAACCCATATAACAAAATGTCACTCATCTTCTAATTGTGCCCCTATTAAGATATCAATTTCAGTAGCAATTCATCGTGCGTACATATCTAATTTTTCTCTAGGCTAACTCTCCCTGATTTGACTTGAGTAGAAATTGTTCAAAAGTATGAGCACAGAATATGACAGCATGTAGCTTATTGTGTAAGGATGACTGTAACTTTGGGGTTTGTTTGTTTGTTTTGTTTTGTCATTTTAATGGTTGGAACCTCAAAAGAGTTACTGTGACACATTCAGTTCAATAAAACAAAAGCCAGTATTTCTCAAAGGTAATGGTGCACTGAGATGTCACTTTTAGATGATTGCTTATCTATAAGCCAAAGGGATTAGTCTAGGCTTTGAATGTCCATAAGAGCTACTTGTGAAGTGGGAGGAGTTACTAGCTAACAGAGCCAAAATTAGGGCAGGCCAACAAGGCCTTTGCTCTGGGTGCAAAGGTGGGGAAAGCATGCTTTTTCCCACCCCACCCCCAATTACTACCATCTGGGTACCTCATAGCCTTCTCCCCTTTGTGGGGAGGCAGCACGAAGGGTTAAGGGATGAGGGTCACAGGCTATTGGATATGGGGGTGGAGGGTAAGGGTACAGTTATTACTGAACTGCCTTGTACCCTCACAGAGTAGGGAGAGGTGGAGGAAGTCAGACTGCAAGATGAGGGACTAGAAGAGGTCTGCAAAGAAGAACAGTCACTACACTGCACTTGGGCCCTGGAGGGAAAGGAATTATAGCCTATGTGGAGGAAGTATGGTCCTGGTACCTGGATTGAGGAGAAGTAATGAAAACAGTTGCCCTCTAATCCGATTGCTGCGATAACTCCCCCGTAATTGTTTTGCCCCAGGTAGAAAAATTCCCAGTTGTGCCTCTGTTAGCTAGTCTTCCACTATGGTGTTCAGGGATGTTACCGCCTGGAAGATTGCCTACAGGGTATTGCAGTTTATTCTGAAGGGACTCTAGTTCAAGTAGAAGGATAGAAATAGCCCCACAAAAACAAAACAAACCCAAAACATTAGCTTGACTGTTCCTTTCTAGCAGCTGTGCTAACCTAGGCTGCTGAGCACATTTAGTCCTTTAGTTTCTAGAAGAGGTTGGGTCCCGGTTCTCCCTGCCTCTGGAGAGCCAAAGCATGGCAAAATAAAAACCACACTGCCATCCAATGGCCATCTCAGTAGCTTTGGGGAAAACCTGACAATGTTCAGGTGATTTAGTGTACATTGGTTCCATGTGTATTTCATCATCTCTTCCTCTCACCTCCCTCCAAGAAAAAAAGAAAACGGTACAGGAAAGAAGATTTTATGCTTCAGTTACCATGAGGTTTTTCCCCCTTTCCTCCTTTTTTCTACAGTTGTACAAAAGGGTCATTTTGAGAAACAAAGCAAAAATAATAATAACTCAAAAGCAAAGCAAAAAAAAAGAAAGAAAGAAAGAAAGAACCAGAAGAATGGAGTACATATAAACTACAAATATATGACAAGAAAAGTGAATTCAAATGAATGGACAAATAATCCTGACAAGGATTTAACTAGAATGACTGAAAAATTATTGTGATATGTTATACATTGAAATGTTGTCTAAAGAATTACTAATCAAGTTTTATTGGTTGTGTTGAAGTTCACTATTGTTCTTTTAATAAAACATTAAAAGTAAAGCTTCAGTTTATCAAAAACTATATATATAGTATATATATGTATGTGTGTATATATACTATATATATATATATATATATGTATAAAAAACCTCATTTAATTATCACAAATGAGGATCAACTACCTCATAAGGTAGATGCTACTACTATGCTCATTTTACAGATGAGGAAACTGGGCTCAGGGAAAATTCAACTAACCCAGGGTAACACAGTGAATAGATGTCTGAGATGGGATTTGAACCCATGATTTCCTGACTCTGGTCACCGTACTATGCTGCCTTTCAAAAAAAAAGGTAAATATGCTCCTGGGAGGTGACCTTCTAACAATTATGTCACCATCTGATCTCTGAGATCTGGCATCATCTATAAATTCTAAGAAAGTATCCCTGTTTTAAGAATGGGTCATAATACAGAAGATCAATAAAGACAAAGCACTCAAATAGCAACTCAAAGCAGGAAGGGATGAGAAAGAAGATTTATAAGCTTGTGTGTTCTCATAATTATGTCTGAGGCTACTGAAAAGGTGAGGAGATTGGAGATAGGCACAGAGGGATGAGTCCATAAACTTTTCTAAGAAGCCAATTCCAAGGAATTTTTTTTTAATCTTTCATCTTCTGCACTGCTTATCACCCCCACAAGAGAATTCATGCTCTTTCCTCCCTCCCTCATGCACATGCAGCTGGAAGAGCACCGGGCTGAGCAGAGGCAGCTAAAGCACCTGCAGAAGAGACAGGCCCAGATCATCAAGGAGAAGGACCAGTTGCAGAGTGAGCACAGCAAAGCCATCCTGGCCCGGAGTAAGCTGGAAAGTCTGTGCCGCGAGCTTCAGAGGCATAATAAAACTCTCAAGGTGAGCAGGCTCCTCTGAGGGCAAACTCACGCCACCATTCATACCACTCCCTCTTTCAGTTCCCTGAATGAGGAACAGCCAAGTGCACAATGTGTACATTCTGGAGCTCCCTGGGCTTTCTGCCACCCCTTCGAGCCCTGCTTTTTTCTGGAAAGCCTCAGAACTGGGGTGCTAGTGACCCCTCCTGGTATCTAGCCGTTACCAGCTCTCCTCCCAAATCTGGCTTTCTGAGCTCCTGCCTGCAGGAGAGAGAGAAAACACAGATGGTCTTTTCTCCCTTTCCCTGCTCCTTAAAAACTAGCCTCAAGAAAAAAAAGAAGTAATTTCACTAGTTAGCACTCAAGTAATTAAAGTACCACTTAACTCTAAAGGGAAGCTACTGGGGGTTAAAATGATGAACTCAGGGAACATTATAAGATTTACAAGGTCCTATCCTAGTTCTATATGCATGTTTCAGGAGTTAAGTACTTATGAGTAGTTTTTTTACCTTTTGTTCTTGGAGTTTTGTTCTCCTAGAATTTATTACTTCTCTTGAAAAAGAAAATCCTAATTCTCCCTTCTCCCTAATATAATATAAGCTCCTAGAGAGAAAGAACTGTTTCATTTTTTTCTTTATATCTCTGGGGCCTAAAGCAGTGAACTTAACAAATGGTTGTTTTTTAATTTAATTTAATTCGACCAGAATTATTAAGTACCTACTATGTGATAGGTGCTGTGGATACACAATTGTCCTCCCTTATCTTCTTGGCCCCTCACTTCATCACCTAGTCCTACAAGTAACATTCTAGATGCAGGGTAGGTAGAGGGGGAAGTAGGGATAAATTAGACCTATCCTAACCTAGACAGAATTCTTTTTCATCTTCCAGAACTATTAATATGCCATTAATATGGCAACATCCATATTACTCATTTTCTATTTTTGGTCAAGATTATTTGGGCTTCAGTTTGCTCATCTAGAGGATGAGGGCATTGAATTCAGTGGCTTCTCAGATTTCCTTCTAGCTCTAAAACTATGGTCCTATGAACTGTTTCCCATGGATACATATCTTATTTGATCCCCCACCCTATGAGGTTGATAGAGTAGGTTTTATTATACCTGTTATACAGTGGAGAAAATGGAGGCCTAGAAAAGTGAAATGACTTGCCCAGGGTCACAGAGCAAGGCAACCATGTTATGACTCAAACCTAGGCAATAATAATAATAATTTTTATTATTGTTGTTATAATAACTAGCATTTGTGTAATATTTTAAGGTTACTTTTACATATGTTATTTCATTTGTTCCTCACAACAACCCTGTGAGGTAGGTTATTATCCCCATTTTACAGATGAGGGAATTGAGGCAGATAGGTAAAGTGACTTATCCAAGGTCACACAGATAGTATCCAAGGCAAGATTTGAACTCAAGCCTTCCTGACTCCCAGTCCAGCATTCTATCTACTACTCCACCTCATTGCATATCACCCAAGTCCTAACTCCAGTACTATTACTAATATATTCATCATATTGCTTCTCAGCTACTTTAAAGTGGCACCCTTCAGTCCTATCCATGCACAAATTTTCAAAGAATCAAAAACTTTCAGTATTTATAATGGGAATCCCCCAAAAGATCTGAATTATGTGAAAAATTATAGACGAGGTAATTGACAAGGTAATATTACAGTAAGCATTAGAATAGTCATTCTGTAAATAGGCACATAGAAAGGATTGGGAAAACATGGGAGCTCTTCAGATAATAATTCCTACTAAAAATAATGGAGTGATCACTTCACTTGTCTGTATGTGTTTTCACTAATTATGGCGCAAGCCTTCAGCAGTGTGGTTAATTTGATTACACACAGACTCTGGCTCTGTTTAGTGCTGGCAAGATACTGCTCTCTAATAGATAATACTTCCCGCTTCTACAATACTCCTTTTCAGCTAAGGATCCTGAAGCATTTGACAAACATTAATTAATTAAACACCAATGTTCCTATGAGGTATGCATTATTACCCGTGCTCACAAGGGGATAAACTGAGACAGGGGGAGATTAAAAGATTTTCCTAAATGTGCATGCCTCAGACACAAAACCAGAAGCAAACTGAGGGCCCTAATACCTTGACCTCTTCTTTAATCAAGAGATCACATTTGGTTCTCTGGGAAATGGGGAATCCAGTGTGATGAGCATCTCTAATCCTCAGGTTACCTCGTTGCCAGGAGTGATGGTTTCAGTAACGTTCAAACCTGGCATCACTGCAAAGGCCGTGTTGAGGAAAATAATAAACATGGACTGGGGAGAGGGGGTGGGTATGGGAAGTCTTTGTAACTTGAGAATTGCATTCATGAGCAAGTAGTCTGATGTGTTTATCTGTATTCTCCTGTTTAATTTTTAATTTAATGTTTAAGGACCTAGGTTTTCAGAACTAAGAGGGACCTAAGAGATCATCTATCCCAACCTCTTTTATATATATATATATATTTAGTTTTTAACATTCACTTCCACAAGATTTTAAGTTACAAATTTTCTCCCCATCTCATCCCTCCCCCCACCCCAAGATGGCATGCATTCTGAATACTCCTTGCCCTAATCTGCCAACCTCTCTTTTTACAGACGATGAAACAGGCCGAAGGAGGAGAAATACTTTGTCTAAATTTCCAAGAGTAATTAGTTGCAGAGGCCAACCCAGGTTTTCTGACACCAAACTTAGGCTCCTTTGCAGAATTTCTGACTATTTCATTGTTTCAGCAAAGCTGCAGCTGGAATAAAAAAACTAATTTGAGTTGAAAATAAAGAATAAAATGATTGAAGATGTGGCAGATAAGCTAAATGGATTGATACAGAGAGGAAACAGCATTATTTGCCATGACCACACTCTAGCTGTTAACACATGTTTATAATTCTAGGAGGCTGGAGAAGATAGAGGTGGGGAACGTCAATGTATATTGCTATAACCATCCAAAATTGTTTCCACTACTCCTGATGGAAATATAACCTTCTTTCTTCAATGGATCAAAGAGCCTTTCCTTTCATAGGTGTGTGTATGCATATATGTATGTACATGCATAAATGCATATATATAATAAAAAAATTTAATTTTTAATTAATTTATTTTGAATTATCAACAATCACTTCCATAAGCTTTTGAGTTTAAAATTTTTCTCCTTCTCCCTCCCCACCTCTCTCCCCCAAGACAGTGAGCAATCTGATATAGGCTATACATATATATATTCCTATTAAACATATTTTCACATTAGTGATGTTGTAAGAAAGAATTAGAGCCAATAGGAGGAACCACCAAAAAGAGGAAACAAAACACAACAGAAGAAAAAAATACCAAATAGTATGCTTCAATCTACATTCAAACTCCATAGTTCTTTCTTTGGATGTGGATAGCATTTTCCAACATGAGGCCTCTGGAGATATCTTAGATCCTTGTATTGCTGAGAAGGATTAAGTCTATCAATATCAGTCATGGCACAACGTGGCTGTTACTGTGTACATTTTCCTGGCTCTGCTCATTTCACTCAGCATCAGATTATATAGGTCTTTCCCAGTTTTTCTGAAGTCAGCCTGTTCATCATTTCTTATAGCATAATAATATTCCATTACTTTCATATACCACAACTTGTTCAGCCAGTCCCCAATTGATGGGCATCCTCTCAATTTCCAATTCTTTGCCACCACAAAAAGAGCTGCTATAAATATTTGTGTATATGTAGTTCCTTTTCCCATTTGTATGATTTCTCTGGGATATAGCCCTAGAAGTGCTATTGCTGGGTCAAAGGGTATGCACATTTTTATAGCCCTTTGGGCACAGTTCCAAATTGCTCTCCAAAATGGTTGGATCATTTCACAACTCCACCAACCGTGCATGTGTTCCAATTTTCCCACTTCTTCTCCAACATTTATCATTTTCCTGTTTTATCATGTTGGCCAATCTGATAGGTGTGATGTGGTATCTGAGAGTTGTTTTGATTTGCATTTCTCTAATCAATAGTGATTTAGAGCATTATTTCATATGACTACAGATGGCTTTAATTTCTTCATCTGAGAACTGCCTGTTCATATACTTTGACCATTTATCAATTGGTGAATGATTTGTATTCTTATAGATTTGACTTAATTCTCTACATACTTTAAAAATGAGGCCCTTATCAGAGAGACTGGTTGTAAAAATTCTTTCCCAGTTTTTTACCTTCCTTCTAATCTTGGTTGCATTGGCTTTGTGCAAAAACTTTTCAATTTAATGTAATCAAAGTTATCCATTTTACTTTTTCTAATGTTCTCCATCTCCTGTTTGGTCATGAATTCTTCTGTTCTCCATAAATCTGATAGGTAAACTATTCCTTGCTCTTCCAGTTTGCTTACAGTATCAGCCTTTATATCTAAATCATGAACCCATTTTGACTTTATTTTGGTATATTGTGTGAGATTTTGACCTATGCCTAGTTTCTGCCATACTCTTTTCCAGTTTTGATATGGAACAGTTTTCAAGAAATATCACAATATACTTGTAAGGAATAAAACTGCAACTCAGATTAGTAAAGAGCTGAGGCACTTCTAGGATATCTGCTTTGCTGAAAAAACCTATTTTATAATTATAGGTCATAGAGTTCTAGAGCTCCAAGAGAATTTAAGAATCATCTAATATATCCCTCACCACTACCTCACTAATTTAAACTGGTGAATCTGAAGCAAAGATTCTTAATCTGGGATCCACAAGCCTCTCCATGGTGGAGGGTCCTTATTTTTAAATCTTTATTTTTATTGACCTTTAACTGAAATTTAACATTTTCTCCACTTATTCAAAACCATGATTCTGAGGAGTCCATAGACTTCACCAACCTACTTCACCTTATTCCCATCCAATCAGTTACCAAGACTCATCAGTTCTCTTCCCACAGCATCTCTCTAATCTATCCTCTTTCCTTCTCAACTCACATAGCCACCACTTAGTTTGAATTCTCATTACTCTCACATGAATGAGCATAAGAACCTTCTCATTGGTCTCCCTGCTGCCAGTCTCTTTCCCTCTCTAAATCCCTCTCTGATATAATTGCTGCCAAAATAATTTCCTAAGACACACAACTGACCATGTTACTCCCTTGCTCAAAAGCTTTTAGTGGTTTCCTCTTGCCTATAGGATAAAATTCAAATGCTTTTTCCCGGCATTTAAACCCCTTCACAGTCTGGCTTCCATCTACATTTCCAGACTTACTGCCTACCATTTCCTTTCCTGGCCAAATGAGATTCCTAGCCATCTCCTGGACTTGATATTTCACTTCTTGCCTCCTCACAATTCCTCCATGTCTGGAATATACTCTCTCCAAATCTCCATTGGTCAGAATCATCATCTTCCAGGCTCAATTCAGGTGCCACAACCTTCTCAAAAAAGTATCCTCTATTCTTCCCCAGTTCTTCATGGTCTCTTCCTCCTCAGTTTTCTTTGTATTATACTTACTTTTGTACATGCTATATCTGAGAGTAGAATGTAAGCTCCTTGAGGGCAGGAATGGTTTGGGATTTTTTTTTCTTTATATCTCCATCACCTGTACAGTGGCTTACACATAGTAAGAGCTTAATCAATGCTTATGAAATAAAACAAAATGCCCTGCAATAGGTTGGAGATGTGGATGGTAAGCTCAGATGAGAAACCATAGGACAATAGTACTTGCACTATGTACCTCACAGGGTTGTTGCAAGGAAAGTACTTCTTAAACTGTAGATATAATGTAAACTATAAAATACTCAATTTCTCAAACTGTGACTTCATCAATTTGAGAGTTCCCTCCAACAATGCTAATTGCAACCTATCCATGCCTGCCCATCCTATATGGCTCTTATCCATAGTAAAGATAAGGCATAATAACTACTACTTTTGTTTACAGAATTCTCCTGCCCTCCCCTTGCCATCTACACACACACACACACACACACACACACACACACACACACACACACACACACTGCAAAAAAAAAAAGTTCTTCAGGACTTAATTTGAACTTGTTAGACACTTTTGTTAGAAAGTTCTACACTATACAGGTTTTACTTTTCACTGATGAATGCATAAAATGTCCTTGTATGTTATAAATTAATCAGAAAGACTATAAAGGAACCCTTCAATGTCTATATGTGATTTGCCAGTTGTGTAAGTGTCTCTGTCTTTATTTTTACATGGAAATATTAAACCCTTTTACTCTGGAAGAATGAGAATAAGACTCACAAAGCAAACAGCACTCAATATAGATGTGTGGGAAATTTTGGTATATTGTCAATGGGTCTGAGTGAATGGAGAGTTTTGATTTAGAAGGAAAAAGGGAAAAGAAAAGACATTGTGAAAGTTAATTTCCAATTCTATCATGCTAACAAAGTGAAAGAAGAGAAAATTAGATGTTTCTTTTAGAGTTTTAGAAGGGTTTGAAACTTATCATTGCACCCAGAATCAGAATTTTCCAGTGAATGTATCAATTACCCTGTGTGACACATGACTGTTCTTTCCAACAAAAGCTCACTATCCAGCAGGTTTGCCAAGACTAGTGCAACTGCTCAGTAGCTATTTTAGTTCACCTTGTTATTGATCTTTTAGGGAACCTTTTTCTTAATAAAGAGGAGAATGTACTATTTACCAGGGTGTACTTATGACATTTCAATAATATTATTAGGGAGTTGATGTGTCTTAGTGGCTATATAGTGGTACAAGGCCAATTTTCCTCCTTACAGCAAGCCACTGGAGTGGATGATTTGAACCATCACTTTTAACTCATGGCAAGGAAGTGACCTTTGTTTTCAGCTAAACACAGTCAGATCAGAACTGGGTATTGTGGGCTTGGTAGAAATCGCTGCAGCTCATTCAAAACACTCAGCTGGAGCCTAGTCATCTTTCAGATAGGCCTATTCATAGGTAACTATTAGATACAAGGTGTTCACAGCATCTGTCTCCAGGAACTATTCACCCATCACTGATATTCATGTATTGGCCTGTATAGCCCTTGAATATTTACTTCACAGTTAAGCAGTATGATTTAGAAAAGAACATACACATGTTCAATTATTCTTTCTCTTTGCTTTGTTACTGATCTTTGGCCTGAAAAGATTTTGTAAATCTGGGGGGAGGGGAGTTACTGAAACTCTTAAACTCAAATACTGTTCTTCTTTTCAACAGGAGGAAACTCTCCAGAGGGCACGTGAGGAAGATGAGAAAAGGAAAGAGATCACAAGTCATTTTCAGGGCACACTGAGTGACATCCAGGCTCAGATTGAGCAACAGAGTGAAAGAAACATGACACTATGCCAAGAGAACACAGAGCTAGCAGAGAAATTGAAAAGCATCATTGATCAGTATGAACTCAGAGAAGAGGTAAGAATTATATGAAGCCACACAGAAATAAGGGCACTGAGCCACTGGGGTAGATAGATGACACGGTGGATAGAATGCTGGACTTGGAGTCAGGAAGACCTGAGTTCAAATCCTACCTCAGATGTGTACTAACTTGGTGACCCTGGGCAAGTCACTTAACCTCTTTGGCCTCAGTTTCCTCATCTGTAAGATGGGGATAATAATAGCACCCACCTCCAAAGTTGTTGTGAGGATCAAATGAGATAGCATAAGTAAAGTGCTTTGCAAACCTTAAAGGGCTCTATAAATGCTAGTTATTATTATCAGCTAAAGAAATTGGGGAAATAAGGTTTTGACCCCCTCTTTAATGGACTAATATTTAGGAGCATCTTTCTTTGCAAACCAAGAGGATCACAGATAACATTACTAAGAAGTTCATCTGAATTTATGTCCTTATAGTAGCTAGAAAGAAATAAAAAGTGAAGTTGTATGATCCAAACCACAGCTTTCCCTTGGGAAGGCAGCCCAATACTGCTGGGAAAAAAGGGGCGGGCTGATTTTAGCAACCTCCTCTTTTATCCTGAGTAGATTCCAACGTGGGTGCTCCTTTCACTGATGTAGATTGCAGCGCATGTCATCCGGTACAATTCATATCTTATGTTTTTCCATAAATCCTGGCACAGAAGGCCTCCCTATTGGAACGAAAGCTACCTTCTGTTTTTTTAAGTGGCATCAAGGCATCAACCCATACCATTCAGACTACCCTTCCACAATGTTTCATTGTCATTGCATAAATGACCCAATTCTTTTTCTGGTCATATGGTTCCTCAATAATGTCTTTTGCAACACTTTTTCAATGCAGGTTATTGGTGGTGATGTATCTTTTCATTGCCTTTACTTTTTTGTAATTTTGTCTTTTTAAATTATGACATTCCGTGATTCATAGACATATAGTATATTCCTAGAAGATAGGTGGGGGAGGGGAGGAAGGGAGACTTCTTTATTTGTGTTTTGTTCTGTATCTGAACTTCATCAGTGGAGGAAACACCTCGAACAAAAATTCCCTCCACTAATAGACAACTTGTCTTAGAGAGTTGCATGGAGCACTTAAAATTGAAGTACATGTCTATGGGTCATGTAGTCAATGTGTGCCCAATGCAGGTTTTAAACCTAGGTCTCTCTTACTCCAAGGCAGGACATCTATGCTACCTCTCTATCAGAAGAATCTACCACTACACTATGCTACCTCTCTAGCAGAAGAATAGCAGCATTAAGAAATGCAATGGCAAATAGTTTAGAATCATTGAAAGTAATGGCATTTTCCAAATAGAATCTAACCCTATGACTTCCTTTAAGTTCAGCTTCTCTATCTATCCAAGAAATAAATGATAGATAGACAGACAGACTAATTCAACATGTAACTGTATCACAACTTAAGTATTATGCATTTTTCATCCATTTTGTTTTTTAAGTATAAATGGTTACGCCAATCTTTTCAGTATTGTGGATTTTACTAAAAGAGCTTTATAGCATTCTGAGACACAAGAATGGCAATTAGAATATTGTCATCTCTCAATAGAAACATGTGGAAAACTGAGTTTTATAATAATGCTTGTAAGAGAAAGCAGTCACATGGTAAAATAAATGTCACAATTTTGTCATGCTACTTTCTAGTCCACAAATTTCAATCCAGCTCCAGGAGTATCTGTATAGACTGATATGTGGAAAAATGATAAGTGAAAGGAAGGATAATTATATAGGATCAAAAAGTTAAAACTGAAAAGACTCTTTAGTCTAACCTCATTTTACAGATGAGGTTCCAAAATGTCTTGTTCGAGGTCACACAGTTAATGTGACAGAGGTAAGATTTAAAGCCAGTTATTCAGAAATATTCTAAACTAGCAAGGACCTGGGGCCACTTCTATCTATCTGAGGCACACTCCACTATAGAACCATACACTGCTCCCAGGGCTCAGTTAAAATTAGACCAACCTCTGAATGAGGTGAGGGCAGAAGAACATTTGTCTCTGCATTTTCACCCTATTCCTTAGCCCTTACTCATTCAGTGTCAGGTCATTAGGATGCAGTTTAGTCTAGCACTAGGATTGGCCATCTTGTGACAACAAGACCACATGGCTCTTCAGTGATTTATATACATTCCTTGAAGCCAGCCTAAAGACTTGGCAGGTTCTAAATCATTGGAATTCTTTAAGCAAAGATTGGAGGACCAATGGTTATGAAATAGCTAGGTAGTACAATAGATAGATCATGGAGTCAAGAAGACCTGAGTTCACATCCAGCCTGTAACACCTACTAGCTGTGTAACCTTGGGCAAGTCACTGAAGCTCCATTTGCCTCCATTTTCTCAACTGCAAAATAAAGATACTAGTTCCAGGCTTGTTGTGAAGATCAAGTGAGACAATATTTATAAAACACTTAGCATATTGGCATTACATAAATGCAAGCAATAATTATTAATTATTGTCAGAGGTGTTAAAGAAGGAATTCTTTTTCAACTGTGAGTTGGATTGCATGGCCTCTGAATTCCTCAATTCTGAAATTTGGTGATTCTATTAAAAAAGTCACCATTACAACCCATCTTGATGGTGAGACTAAAAGTAATACTACTAATCCTACAATGCAGATATCCTAGTGCTTTATTGTAAACATTTGCCTGTCATAGTCAGTATACTAAATGAAAATAAGTATTACAACTTTAAAAAAGCATCGTTGTAAATCTTCACTGATCACCTTTTAGAATTCTGGCTTCTTCTCTGGGTCATATCAGGTATATGTCTGTTCCTAACTAGCTGCATGATCTGGGGAAAGTCACTTAATATAGGCCTCAATTTCCTCAGCTATGAAAGAGGGGATTGTAGTAGATGATCTCAAAGATCTTTTCCAGTTGTAACAATTCTCTGCTTCTCAGATACCTGCCCTCTTTAATACAGTAGGTGATTTAACAACATCAGGAAAAGTAATGGAAAAGAAAAAGTGGATTCCCACTTTGAGCTCCTCCAAAGCTACTGGACATCTCTACTTAATAGACCTGCTATTTTAAAATTCAGGGATTATATAAATTATTATTTAAAATGCAGGGAATATTATAAAGGAACCACAATGAATTGTTAGGCAACCCTGGGAAGCAAATTGAGGAGATTTTACCTACAATGGAACTTAAAAGTTTCAAGCCGACAGGGTACAGTGGGAAGTCACTAGGTATGGTAGAAATAGCACTGATTCTGGAGTTAGAAGACCTGGATTCAAATCCTGCCCCCAATACTTATAATCTCTCTGACCTAGAGCAATTCACTTCACTTTCTGGAGCTTCAGTTTACTCATACGTAAAATGAGGGGTTGGATTAGATGGGCTCTGTGGTTCCTTCCCATTCTGGATCTATGATTTTAGCCAGATGAAGACATAATGCCCAACACAGGGAATTTTTGCTACCACAAATGACGTTTCCTCTCTTTCTCCAGAAGAGGGAGCTATATACACTTTTCTTGATCTCTTAAGTTCCTCTCTTGACCGGTTCCTTTTTTGTCATGAGGATTTGCCTCAAGGGGGAGGCAAATCAATTTTGTGTTGATAGGAATATTGTCTGACAATTCTCAAGCCATCGTAAATAAATTTTTTTTTCTTTCTTTCATATGCGTGCTTTGTTCCTCTCCAGCATCTGGATAAAATATTTAAGCACCGGGAACTCCAACAGAAGCTGGTAGATGCGAAACTTGAACAAGCCCAAGAAATGATGAAGGAAGCAGAAGAGCGACACCAGCGAGAAAAGGAATATGTACTTATCAGTTTGAACATCTGCCTGCTATACTTTAATCCCATGTCACAGAGAAACTCCAAAGTCCCTCGTGTTCATGAATAGTCACAGAGGCACAGGGTTCCATTATTAAATGCAAATGGAAACAATGGCTTCCTCACCCTACCCACCCCCAACTGTAGGAAAGTCCAAATTTTATCTCAAGAAACACCTTGGTAGATGATCAGGAGTCTAGGGAGTATCTATAATCTATACTACTTTCCCCCCTAAATTTTAATTGATGTCCTTTGTTTTTTATACCAGTCTTTTCCTGGTGGCATTACCCGATAAACACTACTGAGCTCTCCTGTGCAACAAAGAGAAACATTTAGGTTAAATTAATATGCCCAGTAGTTGCCTTCAACTGAGACATTTCTGATATGCAACATTCAATATCTATAGTCTTTACCAAGAGGAAAGAGGCACCTTTCTTGACTTGTCCTCTGGGACTAATATTGGTTTTTATCTTTCATTTAAATTCAGCTGACTTTTAGAAATAAACAGTCCTACTCTGTATTCTAGTGAAAGTGCTAGCATCCTCCAAAGGATCCCCTATCCTTTGCACATAATAGGTACCTATTAACAATTTGTTGAACTAAGAAATCAAGCCATTTATTAGGAACCTAACTCATCCATCATTGTGTGGGTTACTATGAAGAAGTCAAAAGAAAGAGGGGACATAGTCTCTGACTTTTAGAAATTTACAATCTGGCTCCAGAAACTTAATCATCCATATACATGAAATAACTTGAGAGCATATAAGACATTTATATCCTCAAATGCTAGATGGTTTGATACCCCCCAAAAAATGCTGTAGGAATTTAGAGAAAGGAAGAATCAGTATAGGTTAATTTAGCCAGGGAAGCATTGGTAAAGGTTAGTCTTGAGCTAAGCTTGGAAAGAGATGTTTAGAATTACGATTGGTAGAGACAGAGGGTAAGGACTATCTCAATAGGGGCTGGGGGGGGAAGCCAAGAGTAAAGAAATAAAAGAAAGAATTTGGATGGCCTATGTATTAGTAAGGAAACTGGCAGTCCCACAAGCTTAGCCTAGGAGAATAACCCAATAATCTAGGGGGCCAGATGCACAAAAGCAATAACTAGCAGGAAATAACCTGCCCTTCTAACTCTTTTTGAGTCACAGGGGTGTCTCAACTCCTGCCTTTGGTCTACACAGTGGATGGAGCAGCACACTCACACCTGTCAATGCCATTCTTACAGATGTCAATGTTTCTCATGCTGGTAATTGTCAAAGGATAAAGAAAACAGACCCACTGTTACTGGCATAACTGCCTCTCTATTATCAACTAAAATTACTACATAAAGCAAAGTTAACTCAAGTATTCTAGGCCATCTAATAGCTCAACAACACTGAGAAATATTAATGGGAAGATCTTCTAGGTAAATTAGAATAGCCTCAGAAAGGAAGTAACAAGTTACTTAACTTCTCATCTGCTGGCTTTGTAGATCACAGTAATATACCTCATTTTTTCTCTGTAGCCTTTTCCAAAGGTAGCTACTCACCCAACTGGCATACTTTCTATATTAATTTGAGGGTGGTGGAGGTAAACATCAGACACAATATATTCTCTCCTTGCCTTTGACACCTTTCCTACTTATTGCCCTAGGTTTTCCCCCCAATAAAACCCAGAAATCATGAGAGCAAAGCCACCATGCAACTTGTCAAGTTGGGCAAGGGACAGATATTCTTCACTGGGATACTCCATTGTCTACTATTTGTTTAGAGAATGGGACTCAAATATTGAGTTTTCTCAGTAGTATTAGGAGTCTTCAAGCAGAGGATGGAGAGTCATCAATTAAGAATATTAAGAAGCAGACTCATTGTGGCTGAACTACATGGGGATTTAATTCAATTAAAGCACTTATTTAACACTTACTATATGCCAGGCACCATGTTAGGCATTTAGGATACAAATATGAAAATTTTTAAATAGTCTGCTGTCAAGAAACTTACATTCTGCTGGATTTGATATTTCATAATCAGAAAGTTGTATTTCTATTTTTTTCCATGAAATCCAATCAAGTCATCATCAAAACCACAATATACATTCCAGCTTTTATAAATCATTATTTTATATATTTCATATTCTTTTTAAAGCCTGAAGCTTTTAAAGAGATCTAATAGGCAGGAAAAGTACTAAGCTTTATATATTAACTGCAATAATAAAGTCATTCCAAAGATTTTTTTAATGTAATATGTTCTCGTCTTTTGGATACTCTTTTCACATAGTTACTGAACCAAGCAGCTGAGTGGAAGCTTCAGACTAAGATGCTGAAAGAACAAGAGACAGTCCTGCAGGCCCAGGTGAAGTACAAAGAATCAAATGCATAACGTGTGCCTTTCCTTATTTGTTTCCGAGTCATGGTCCTAAGATCCAATATTTAGAATGCTAAGGTCTTTATATTGGGCAGGAATAAGGGGGAAAGAAGAATAAATTCACAATTGTAAAAAACATAGCAAATGAAGACCTAGAGCACTATCTTTTTTTTTTAATATAAATTTATTTATTTTTAGTTTTCACCATTTACTTCCACAAGATTTTGGCCATGCTAATCTTCTCTGTATCGTTCCAATTTTAGTATATGTGCTGCCGAAGCAAGCACCTGGAGCACTATCTCTAAGCAGGGCAATTCTACCCACCTACACGACTCATTCTGTGTGCCCTTCTCCTTAAAAATTATGGAACCCCAAGTGTGAGTCAGGATAAACCAGTGTCCAAATAGACATTCCTGAGCTCATGTCTTCCTTTCTCTCTCCCCTCCTTTATTAATCTTTGAAGGTAAGAATAAAACACAGTCTAAGTTTAGATTTGCCATTTACAAACATAAATATTCAAAATCTCTTCCACACATGTTTTATTTCCTCTATTTTAAACATGTCAGTATATCAAGCAAGGATCTATCATCGTGTTAGTGCAAGAATTTTATCTACCTAGAAGATCCTACATATAACACAGTACATGTCTTTGAGAGTTCTGAGGCTCAGAAAACTTAAGTAACTTGCCCAACATCACATAGGCAGTAAGTGCCAGAGGCAGACTTGAATTTGGGTGCTTCTGACCCTGAGCTCAATACTCTTATCTCTTAAACCATACTACTTTTTTTTTAAAGAGAAGGAAAAAATAAGAGTTTAGTCAACTCTTAAATATTTGTCCTATTGAAAGGGAGCAAAGGCAATGATGAGTTCAAAACACTAGATAATCTAGAATTAGTTTCTGTTTGGCTTAATCTTAATCTTGGCTTGATATTTAGACTGGAATAAGAATGTGTCCATCTCATAGTCTGCCAATTCACACTTCAGAACAAGCAATGGTGCCCCAATGTGAAGACATGACAAAAATCTAGGAAGCTAGAGAGCTTCCTCATCACCCACAAGTTCAACCTCTCTATTCCTTACTCCAAACTGGAGATAAGAAGTTTAATACTGATAAGATATGATAGTGGCCTTTATTATCCCATCTCACTGTCACTCTTATTTGCACCTTCATTTTGATTCAATTAGACAAAAATGCATTAGATACATTGGAATTGGAATCTGAGTTTGAATCCCAATTTTGCTACTCACTTATCTTATGTCCTTGGGCAAGTCACTTTGTGTCTCAGTTTCTTCATATGAGGAAAAATGAAGGCATTGGTCTCAATGGCTTGTAAGGTCCTTTCCAGCTCTACGTTTGTGGTCTTATGGTCTATAAATATCTTAACCCATCTAGGCCTGATTTCCTCATCTATAAAATGAGGATAGGAGGAGTTGTACTCAGTGGTTTCTAAGGTCTCTTCCAGCTCTAAATCTGTGACTCTGTGATCTTAATTAGTGCAAGACTCTATGGTAGGCACTTGAGATATAAAGATGAAAAGCAAAAGCAAAAGCAAAAACAACAGTCCCTAACCTTAAGGAGCTTGTAATCTAATGGGGAGGGGATATGAAGGATTACAAAGGGGAGAAAGGAAGAAGCATTTATATAGCACCTACCACATACTGGGCACTATGCTAAGTGCATTTTACAAACACTGTCTCATTGGATTTTCACCACCCTTTGAGGTAGGTGCTATGTCTTCTTTTTTTCAGTTGAAGAAACTGATATAATCAGGAGTTAAGTGATTTGCCCAGGGTCACAGAACTAGTAAGTGTCTGAGGCCATATATGAACTCATACCTCAATGATTCCAGGTCTAGCAGGCCTTATCCATTTTGGCAACAACTGTATACAATACAATACAACATAATACATAAATTATTTGCAAGGTAGAGTAAATAAAGGCTAAGTAGAGATTGGTGCAAAATATTCTAGCAAAATTTGAGGAAGCAAAGATTGCTTTCATCTTGGGGGAGGGGGGAGGAGGAGTGAGGTGGGAACAGGAAAGTTAGTGGAGTAGGTGGTCCCTTTGTTGGACACTGAAGGAAGAGATTTTCAATAGTTGGAGACTAGGAGTCAGCAAGTTCCTAGAGTGGTGGATATGTCCCAGAATGAACAGCAGCAGAAGAGAGTAAATGATGAAACCAGAGCAGTATTAGCAGTTCTTCCATGAGAGAAGAAGCAATGACACATTCAAGTGGAAGAGACTTTCCCCTAGAATCCTTCAAGCCAAGGCTGTGCCTCCCTAGTGTTTCAAGGAGAAATGTCCCAATTATTACAGGATACTTAGGGAATAAATCAGCAAGAGGTGAGAAAGTCAGAAGGCCTCTAAATTTAGCAGAGATAATGCAAGAAGCACATACATCCATTTGCATATAGTCAAGGACTACTTATTTATGACAGGCTGAATAAATCTTTTCATGGCTAATGTTTTTTTGGGGGGAGGAAAGCAATCATGAACTTTTCCCTTCTAGTGTGATTTATTCTCTACTCCATTATTTAAAACATACACACACACACACACACACACCCCAAAGCAGACTTGTTCTAAAATCTTGTCATAGTCTATTTTGTTTCACTTCATGCTTTCTCTGCTGCTCCCCAGAATCGACTTCCCTACAAGGCAAGGGTGTTTCCAGAAGCCTCTTATGCAGCCACTTTTATTTCATTTCAGCCTTCCTCCTCTTCCAACTTTCCAAATCCCTGAATTTGAATATCAACAAATTAGCCATTACATAGTTCACCAAAAAGAGAAAAGAGCTTCTCAAATCCCTAAATTCAACAGGAAGTTTAAAAGGATTTTCTTTTTAAAATGGCAAACACTATGCTACCAGAATGTTTATTTGTTTGTTTAATCACACAACAAAGTTAAATAAGAAAGGGTTTTTTTTAAAACTTATTTTGTATAGCACTGGAAATTCCCAATTTCATTTAAAATCAATTTTTTAAGGGCTTCCAACAGACTTACGGATTGTCAGAATCACAGACTATTAACACTAGAATGGAGCTTAGACATCCCCTGAGCTGGTGTTCATTTCTCAGGTCTGCATTAGACCCCAAAGCATGACTGTGTTATTTTCCTAGACCTTCATTTTTCAGTCCTTCAAGATGAAAGGACAGAATCAATGGCCTAAAAAAGATCAGTGGAACACAACTGCTACTTAAAGATACAATTTTCTTAAGGTCACAATCAGCAATTCAAGGGAGGAACATTCACAGATTTGGAATGCCAACATTATCAACCAAATAATATGTCTACTCAATACTATAAAGGGGGAAGGAAGATTTAGAAAATCAATGATTGAAGAAGTGTAACTTGCACATCCTATAAAATCAGACCTTCTATGGACCATGATTCCCACCACAGTCAGGGAACTTAGCTATGGAATTAGTTACAAATGAGTAGAATATCACACACCCCACAGCAGTCACTTCTGTTGATGATCACCGGACTGGTTTCTAAGGCTAATCTCATAGGTCTTTGGACACAGATCCTACATACAGGATTTTTTTTTAATATTATTTGAATGCTTTTAAACTTCTACTCATTAAAAAAAAAAGAATATTAAAAGAAATCCTTTTAAATGAAACAGATTCAGTCATTGTTATTTCTAAATGAGAATGCCTTGAAACAAAGCTAATCTCAGAGTCTGGCTCAGAGACATATCTACCAGGGAGATTATAATGGCAAATCCTGCATAGCCCCAGCACAGTGTCATGCATGCAGTAAGCACTCAATAAATGAGTTCAAATAGATTTCATTGAACACTGACCTAGGCTGAGTCCATAAGGGTTATCAGAGCTACAAATATTTCCAGAATCACATTGTATGTAGCCAAAATAATTTTTCTTCCCAAATAATAAGCCACAGCATAGTGTTTTGATCTTAAATCACTCTGAATGCAACTCCTATAATAGATCCCCTCTTTCCTGTGCCTGCAGCTTACTCTCTACTCTGAGAGGTTTGAAGAGTTCCAGAATACGCTGACAAAAAGCAATGAGGTATTTGCCACTTTCAAGCAGGAAATGGATAAAGTGAGTACCACTTATCATCCCGAATGTACTGGTATTTTACATTTTGACAACCAATTCTCCTTTGGACTCATTCATCTTTGGCTATGACACTACAGTGCCTCTCACAGAATCGTGAAATGTTTATAGATTCGGAAGAGATTGTGGCTATATTTTTTATTGGTAAGTTTGTGGTAAAATAGTCTCAGCAACTGTCCAAAGAAAAAGAAAATGATTCCTTCTCACTTGTCTTCTTGCTATGGGGAGGGAGTAGAAGGGAAAGGTAAACTTTCTCTTTACTGTTTGCTGAGAGTTAAAGAAAGGGCAACCTTGTGATCTGTAGTAACTTGATAAGCACTGAAGTTAAAAGGAGCTATTCTCCTAAGCTACAAACTATCCCTTAGAATTTAATTACACTTTAATTTTTAAAAAATGTGAATAATTGCTTTAATTCTCCATTTTAGAACTGTGGAATTTTAGAGTGGGAACAAACCTTGGAAATCACTTAGCCCAACCCCACCACTTCATAGATGGGGAAACTGATATCCAAAGGGATGGAGTGATATGCCCAAGGTTACAGCTAATTAGTAATGAGTTCAGACTATAACCCAGATCTCCTACCTCCCAGTCTAGTCACTAGATCCTTCTACCTAGGTCATCATGCTATTTCCCTTACTCCTTCAACATAAAACTAGTCCCTATTTGTAGATGCATTTCTCCCAGAAATGCTTATGCATATGTTTTTCATTTTTTCTTTTTAAAAACTAAGTTTTATCAACTTTTTAAAAAATTTTAATAGTTATTTCCTGATATATACCCCTGACGTCAAATCTTCTCTTCTAACAAAGAAAAATAGTTATAGTGCTATACTTTTACAAGGAGTAAAGTCCCCTTTCCATTCATTCCCTTCACAGTATAGTCAGTATCAGAATTATGCTTGGTAAACAGCATATCCCAACTCATAAATATAAGAAGCATCTAAGAATAGATTTTGTAAGTCAGCAAGAGAAATGTGTACATATATAATATGCATAGATATATATTATTTGTGGGCAGTCTAGACCTATGATTTTATCAGTGTTGGAAATGCCTGGTACAGAAATTACCTGTGTTGATACAATCACCTGAGGCACTGAGAAGTTGACTTGCCTATAGAAAGAGCTTAAACCCAAATCTTCCTTATTCTAGGGTTGGCCTTCTAACCACTATGCAGTCTGCTTCTCATATATATATATATTATAGGATCAGAGATCTAGAACTGGAAGCGACCTTAATGGCCATCTAGATCAATTCCTTCATTTTACAGATGGGAGAAAGGAAGCCAAGATAAGTTAACTAATTTGCCCAAGGTCACATAGATAGTAAATAGCAAAGCTGAGATTTAAACTGCAATCAATGCTCTTTTCCTCTTTAGTTCGCATATGATTTTTATATGCACATATATGCATTTAGGTACATATGCATATATATAGTATGAGATATGTAGCACAAATATAACATGAAATATATAAAGTACAAATATACAATATGACACATATATATATAGCATATATGTACATGCACAAGTAATTCTGTCATAACACAACACATGTGCCCAAGCATGGCGCTAAGCAAAATTGCACAATAAAAACCACAGAGCAGGGGCAGCTAGGTGGTACAGTGGATGGAGCACTGGCTCTTCAGTCAGGAAGACCTGAGTTCAAATCTGGCCTCAGACATTTGATGCTCACTAGTTGTGTGGCCCTGGGCAAGTCACTTAACCCCGATTGCCTCAAAAAACAAAAACAAAAACCACAGAGCTTATGGTGAAAATGGAGTTGGAGCACAATGCTTAAAAACTTCATTAGTGATACATTTTAAAAAGAATAGGAACCTAATTTTAAAAGTAGTAGCACAGTGTTATGTATGTTAAATGGTTAAGAAATACATAATGGCCACATCCACAGTCTTGGACTACTAGTAGGCCTGCACCCTGGGTTTACACCCTGAGCTGCACAAAGCTAGGCAGGCCTCCATAACTCCTAGACTCAGGCCTAAGGTCATGGCGGAAGGGAGGGTAAGGGTGGTTCAGACCAGGCCTTCTCTGCTCATAGCTTCTGCTACACCAGAAGACCTAAAATAAATATGCCACCTTACCTTGACAAAGACCTGAAGTTTGCTTATGGAAGTGGGCATCATAAGGGTTGTAGCTTACGAGTTACAGTGAAGTGGTGCAGTTTTGTGAGTTCTCTCCTGTTTCTCACCAAAGGAATCACACAAAAGCAAAATTTGAATTATCAGCAGAATGTTCTCTAATATAGCAATCAAGTTGGAACAAATTAGCATTTTTAAAATATTTATAGTTGAACTGACTGCCTGTATATATGTATACTAGGCAGCAAATACTAAGAAGCTTTACCAAAGCCAATTTCAAATTAAGAATTAGTTCTCTTTTTCCAGAGTGACTGATCTATTAAAAACTAAAATAACAAAAAAAAAAGAGAGAGAGAGAGAGAGAGAGAATTAGCCAAAAAAAAAAAAGTCAGGGACTTGAGATAGCTTCATTTTTCACCATTAAGAAACAAAGTTAGAAAGTACAGACAAAAGAACTTTAAATCACACATGAGAGTGAAGCTAAAGTGATTTAAAATGAAAATTTTGCTCATGATCATGGTTAATCCATCCTCATTGTTAATTTGATTCCAGAAATTATTTTCTCTTCTAAGTATAAGGAGGAAGCCCTGTTCTTAAATTGGAGAAATGAGCTCACCATATAGAGAGGATTACTTTATTGAGGGTTGGATTTTCATTTATAGTTATTGTCAATAATGACTTCTCCTAGTTGTAAACTTGTATGAGGAAAAGTTTAATCAAAGCACAGAGTAGCCAGAGTTCACACATGGAAGTCAGAGAAAAATGACTTAGATGTGTTGAGTATATTTCAATTATATGTGACTTCTAAATGAATTTTTATTCACTTCCCCTTACTGGGTTGCAGAGTCCTTACCTCTTAAATGAAGGGGTTGGACTGCATGGTCTAAGAACATAGAGCTCAAAATCCTTTGCCTGTCTCTGAAATACTGCTCAATACAGTGGCAGATATTTTGATAAATGCAAAAGTAGTACAAGCCTCTGTATGAATCCTTGGAACCTATGAAGGAAAGAACAAGAAGAACAGCACCTAATAAGATGAAATTTAACAGAGAAAAATTTACACTTGGATTCAAAAAGTCAACCTCACACAGAGGTTCTCTCCCACAAGAGAAGGGATCTATTGCTAGATGATAGCAGTTAGTCTGGGAAAAGATTTAAGGGATTCAGTGGACTGCAAGTTCATAGGAAGTCAACAATGTGATATGGCAACCAAAAAAAAAACTAATGCAAGCTTAAAATTGTGCTATTCTACACTAGAAGAAAGAATAAATAGGTCTAGGGTTATGTACTGGGAAATAAAAGTATGAAGAAGGCATAGGGGCTCAGATTTGAAGACTTGTGTTGGAATCTGAAGGGCAGCTAGGTGGCACAGTAGATGGACTGCCAGACCTAAAGTCAAGGAGACTCATTTCCTAAATTCAAATCTGGTCTCAGACACTTACTAGCTTTGTGACTCCGGGCAAGTCATTTAATCCTGTTTGCCTCAGTTTCCTCATCTGTAAAATGAGCTGGAGAAAGAAATGGCAAAACCATTCCATTATCTTTGCCAAGAAAACACCAATGTGGTCACAAAGAGTTGGACATGACCGAAACAACTGAACAACAATCTGGGCTCTTCTATTTACTACTTCTGTTACCCAGGCAAGTTATTTAACTTCTATAGGCTTGTTTCCCCATACATAAAATGGGGATTGGACTTGACAATGTTTAAAGTCTCTTCTAAGTCTAGCATACTGACATTCCTAAATCTTTATTCTTTGCTATCGAAAATTCATTTGTCTTAGTAATTGGTAATAAAAGTATCTCTTTTTCAGAGAGGAGAAGGAGAAGATGGCTACTAGTCTTAGGTGTATCAATTTCTTATACTCCTCTTATGATGTTAATAGAGGCAGCTAGGTATCACAAATAAATAGAATGTGGGACCTGGAGTCAGGAAGACTTAAGTTCAAATTTTACCTCAGATGTTTTTAGCTACGTGACTCCAGGCAAATCACTTAACTTCTGCCCTCAGGTTCCTCACTTCTACAATGCAGATGAAATTAGCAACTAAATTCCAAGGTTGTTGTAAGGATAAATTAAGCTAATATTTGAACAGTGCTTTGCAAACTGTAAAGCACTATATAAATGTCAGCTATTATCATCATTATTACAGACAACGAAGAAAATGAAAAAGCTGGAAAAGGATACAGCCACGTGGAAATCGAGATTTGAAAACTGTAACAAAGCACTCCTGGACATGATTGAAGAGGTGAGAAAATTCTGTCACAGTTTTTCTAGGTTTCAGCCAAAACAGCCATGCTAAGGCAAAGCCTGCAACATAATGGCAAAAATTATTGTCTTTGAAAAATAGCCAGGCTCTTCAGGGACTTGCCATATTAAAATATAGCCAATGATAATAAGCACAAAAACGATCTAGAATTAGATCAGGGATTGTAAGTAGGTTTATGATCCTAATTCACACGTTTTTCTTAATTCAAAAGCCTCTCCCAGGGGAATGCCATCATTTTAACTTACTACTCTGTCCCTGATAGGAGGCACCTGCCTGAACACAAGACGTCCATGGCAGGCCCTACCAGGAGAGCATCGTATATACCTCTCCCCATCCCTGGTCCTCTCTTTCTGTTTCCTCCTCCAATTATATACTATGTTGCTGAGGAGAGGAAAGAGAGGTGATATGTAATGGTTTTCTCTAAGAACAAAACCGCATTTGTCCATATTATATAGTGGATCACAAGTGGATGAAGCATTGGACTTGGAAACGTGAAGACAATTTCAAATCCTGCCTCAAAATTAGGCATGGAACCCTTGGCAAGTCACTTGCTTTCTTTTAGTTTCAGTTTCCTCATCTGCAAAATGGAGATAATAATTATAACAGCTAAGTCATAGGATTGTTGTAAGGATCAAATAAGACCATATAATGTAAAGCACTTTGCAAACTTCAAAAAGGTATATAAAAATAGCAATTATTAATCACTAGCTGCTATCATTATTATTATTATTATTATTATTATTATTATTACACCAAAAGCTACAGCAGTTATGGGGCCTTATATCACCTTATTCACTATCAAACAACAGAGTTGTTGAGGGCAAGGAAATTCCTCCCACAGTCTCAATCAGAGTCCTTGCTTTCCCCTTCCAATCCAGTTCTCCAAAACAGCAATCTCCTGATGCTTCAAGATTTCAGAATCTCTAAATGAGAAGCATGAAGTTGCCTCACCCCTTTCTTCCCTAAAAAATAAATAAATAAATAAATAAAAAGCAGCAGTGATTGGGGTTCCAGCAGAGCTGGATGTGTGTTGCAAAAGGGAAAGTAATCTTGCTTAGTTTCTAGTCCAGCTACCTCAATTTACATTATTTGAATGATCTTTGAAGGAAAGATTTTGTCTGTTTCAAGAGATAATTCTCTTACTTTTTCTTTCTATCCTATTGTCGTTTTTCTTCTCCTTTCTAAAATCACAGAAAGCAGTGAGGACTAAAGAATATGAGTGCTTTGTGATGAAAATTGGAAGGCTAGAAAACCTCTGTAGAGCTCTGCACGAGGAGAGGAATGAGCTATACAAAAAAATTAAAGAGGCCAAAATCCCTGAAAAAGAAGAAAATAAAAACACCTCAGAAGAAGAGTCTGACACAAATACCCCAGTTGATGGAACAGCTGATGGACAGGTAGCCAGTACTGATGAAAATGCATTGAGCAATCTGGCAACAGCTTTCATGGTAATCCATCAAATGGATGTTCCTCATGAACAGTCCTGTGAAAACACAGAGGTGAAGTTATGTAGTCCTCAAGCTTGTAGCCCGGGGAGCTTCCTAGCCCAAACAAATCCTCCATCTAAGTCTGAGGAATGTGAGGAGGCCACACTTCCACCAAAGACTGACAATCAGTCTCTCTTACCAAGGGCAGTTTCCCAAAGTCAGTCCTTAGAGCCTAAGGCAAGGACTGATAGTCACCCCTTCCAAGCACCAGCAGATGCAAACAGTCAATCCCTCCCACCAATTGGAAAGGCTCCAAGCCAACCTCCACAAATTGCAGCAAATGATGGTCCACCCCCACAACCAACCCAAGAGGCTAACAGTCAGCCCTTACAGCCTACAGCAAGTGACCAATGTTCACTTGTGCTACCTGTTTGTGAGCCCAATGGTCAGCCCCCACCATCTGCAGCAGAGGGCCAAAGGCAAACTTCACATTGTCCAGTACAGGCTTCCAATGTGGCATTGATGCCTAAGCCAGACACTGATGTGGAAGAAGTCGATTAAAGGCTACTTTCTGGCTGACCTCTGTGAAGTTTGCATTTCAACTTCTACTGGTTGATTTCTTTAATAGGCATAAAAGGGTAGAAATGGGAGGGAGGGTGTCAGGTAAAAATTAATTTCAATGATCTTCAAATCTTTGTGCTATACATATGCAGTTTAATGCCATCCATAATTAATCACTGCTTTGGAGCTTTTTTAGGCAACAAGGGTTAATGGTCTGGTATTTCCTAAAGGCAGTAAAACATGGCAAAATAATACCAGCTTACCTTTGGAAAGGTATTTGATTTGATTTTTAAATCAACAATAGAATTTTATTTAAGAAATTTCACTTAACTATAATCCCTACAGTTTGTTTCCCTGAATTGTAATGAACACTGTCAACGGCATTGGTGGTTTCAGTACTTTTTTTAAAGAGTTGGTCATTATGGCAACAGAACACACATTTCAAAAATAGTTGGTCACACATCTCTCAACATGTTATTTATCAACCACTCCCTGGCACTCTCCCTCCTGCCTAACCCATACAACACTTATGTTCCAGTAAAAAAAAACAAAAAAAACCATGCAAACATACAATTTTGCATTAAGCACTACAAATAACTCATGTCTTCTATCAGTTTTCACCAGAAATAGACTCTAAACAAGGGCTTTCACATTTTTATAGTGCTAGGCAAAATGCAACTAAACCACAGGTGCATTGGTATGATCCAATCCACTGAATCAAAAATCAAAGTGAATCAAGCCATTTGCTAACAACAGTTCTCCCATGACAGTGAAGATCAAGGATCCAAACAACTTTCAGTCTTCTAGTGGTACAACAAGCCACTTAAGTCTTTTTTTTTTTTGCCAAATTCCACACAAAACAATAGAATCTCAGAACTGGAAGAGACCTTAAAGGTCCTCTGGTACAACTCATATCTGATGTATGAATCCCTGCTGTGATATCTTGACAAATCCAGCCTCCAATTGAAGACTTTCAAAAATGGAGAATTCATCAAATTAGCCCATTCAGCTTTTGAACAGCTCTGAAAATGGACAACTTTTCTTTATGTAGAGTTAAAATTTTTCTCCTATTAACTTCCACCCACTGATTCTACTTTTGCCCTTTAAGGCCAAGCAGAAAAAAATCTAATCACTTTTTCATCTGACAGCCCTTTATATGCTTGAGGGGTACTATTATTATGTCCCCTCAATCATTTCTTCTTTGGGATAAATAGCGCCACTTCATTTAACTAGTCTTTGTTTGGCATAGTTTTGAGTCTTCTCATGGTCATAGTATGGCTCTTCTGAAGTAGTTTGTCAATGTCCTTTATAAAATCTACCATGGGGGTAGCTAGGTGGTGCAGTGGATAGAGCACCGGCCCTGAAGTCAAGAGGACCTGAGTTCAAATCCAACCTCAGACCAAATACTACTAGCTGTGTGACCCTGGGCAAGTCACTTAACGCCAATTGCCTAAAAATTTTTAAAAAATTAAAAATTAAAAAAAAATCTACCATGAAGAACAAGACACAAGATTCCAGAAATGGATTGACATAGCAGACTACAGTGGAACTAACCCATTCTTCCTTTTGTACGCAGTATTTTTATTAATTTGGCCTTGACTGAGTGTCTTATCTTACTATTGACTGATACGAGGTTTTATTCTACCCAAATCTCCTTATCCTTTCCATGTGATTTGTCATGTAGTACAACCATATTTTTTTCTGGTTTTTTTTTTGCTTTTTTTTCCTTTTTGGTGAGGTAATTGGGGTTAAGTGACTTGCCCAGGGTCACACAACTAGTGAGCATCATATGTCTGAGACCAGATTTGAACTCAGATCCTCTTGACTCCAGGGCCAGTGCTCTATCCACTGTACCACCTAGCTGCCCTACAACCATAATTTTTCAAAGATGATCTTGCAGTTTTAAATATTGTAAGCAGTGGACAAATTCTAGTTAATGTTTTTATAGAGTCTGGTCTCAGAGAGAGAAGCTGGATATTAAAAAAGTTCTATCCAAAGAATTTAGCAAATATAAATACATATTAGGAAGAATCTCTAACTGTTCAACTTTCTTCATGGGAATGCTAATTGCTCTCATTTTTCTCACATTAATGGTTACCATCTGCATGGTTAAGTCCAAGAGCAAGCAATAAAGATTTGGGTCACATCAGTGTAGCATAGGAAGAGGTAGTGAGAAAAAGAGATGGATTGGTGTGCTGGGAAATTTAGTGAGGACTCAACATAAAAGCAAAGAGTCAAGCAGCATACTTTCAGCAGGTAATAAATTGCTACTTTCATCTTCCAAAGTTATAGAGGGTATATAAACTAAAGTAGTCATCAGGCCCACTAAACTAAGGTGTGAGCAATTACTAGTGTAGCAGCCTTCTCACTGCCATCAACTTTCTCTCTTATAGCTCTGGCCTCTGTCATAGGGTGTCAAGACACTCTGACCTGATGAACATGAAGGATTGAAGTAAGAAAAGGAATTTCAGAGATGGGAACATGGGTAGATCTTGCTCTTTTCTGTTGCATTGTTTCAAATCTTTTGCTGTAATCAGAAGGCATATTTTGATTCTTCTAATCCCTTGGTCTAGCCTCATATATGTCTATTACATTCTTTTTCATAGACATCCAAATCTGCTTTTTAACATTACCTGTCTTCTTTACTTTCCCAACAAAAAAGGGAGGTAAGAGAAAGATAAAAGAAGGGACAATATTCTGCTTGGGATAAATGTTATGGTGATACTAGATGATGGAGAGAAAGTAGAAATACTCAACTCTTCTTTTGCTTCTGTTTTCTCTGCCAAGAAGAATTATCTTCAAACTGTAAATTTAGAATAAAAATTGTCAAAAGGAAAAACCCAAGGTAAGTTCAAAGGGAAAGCTCATAGTAAGTGAGGAGGCAATTAAAGAGCACCTAGTAGCTTTCAAGAGACCACGGGATGATAGTACTGTTGACCTGGAACCCATTAAATGATTGGTCCCAAAGAATGGTAATGAGCAGATTAATGTCATATTGGAAATAAGCCTCCAGTGGATTTCTCTTTGGTCCTATTCTGTTCAACATTCTTATCAATAACTTTGATGAAGAATAGATGGTATGCTTCCCAAATTTATGGATGAATGAGATTTTGAAGGATAACTAACACATTGAACAATAGATTCAGGATTCAAAAAGCTATCGATAGGTTAGAATGATGGGTTAAGCTTAATAACATGACATTTAATAAAAATAACTGTATAGTCCTATAGTTGGGACCAAAAAAATCAATGGCTAAGAATGAGGCAGATGTGGCTAGACTACAGTTCATATGCAACTTTAAGCTGTTCAGAATAAGAGAGATTATACTCCCTCTATATTCTGCTCTGGTCATACTAGATCTTGGGCAATATTCAGTTCTATGGAATATATTTTAGGAAAAACATTAATAACCTGAGCCTTAGTTCCCTTATTTGTAAAATGGAAGCACTGAAACAGATAATTTCTAAGGTTTCTTTCAGCCCCCTCTAAATATACTACTCTATAATCATACTATGCTGGAGTATATCCAGAGGAAAGCAGCCATAGAGAAGAGACCTGAAACTATGCCACATAATTATCAGTTGATTAAAATTAGGGATATTTAGCCTAATTTCAATATGTGGAACTGTGAGGGTAGGGAAGGGTAGCAGTCATCTTCAAGAATTTTAAGGGTTGTCATTTGAAAGAAGAATTAGACTTGTTTTATTTAGACCCAGAGGGCAAAATTAAGAGTGAGTAGAATTGTTAGAGAGGCAAATTTTATCTCAAGGTAAAGAAAAACTTTCTAACAATGAGGACTGCCTAAAAATGAAATAGCCTGCCTCAACTGTTAGTGTGCTCCCCATGCAGCCAACACTCAGAGGCTGGATGACGAAAAGACATATATGTATTGGACTATAAGACTCTAGGATTTTTCCAACTCTGACACTATATCCTGAAACATCTACTGCTTCTTCTTAAATTCTATCCTTTGCAGCAGGAAATTAGACTGAGCTCTCATCACAGTAAACATTAAGTGAAAACTATTTTTATTCTAAATTGGATATTCATACAGAGCTTTAGTAAAAGAGAAGACTCTGTGCCAAGTCAGTAGAGCCTCTCCCCCAAAGAATTCTCTACTAGCCAAAAGAACAACAGAAAACACAGGGTTGTGTCCAAAATTCTTGGGGAAAGGGGTAAGAACTCAGGAGAAAAGCCAGGAGGCTGTTTCACGTAAACCAAATAAAACTTTGGATCCTCTTTATTTCATTGTCATCAGCTGCCCTACTTAGGGCAAGAACAGTTCACAATTTTTAAAACATGATCCACTATTTCCACTTAAAGGACACCCACATGTAGGGGGGGAAAGACTGTATTCTCTTCCATCAACTCAGTAAATAGCTATTCATCCTCATAAATGATTAGATGCAATATCAATTCAATTCAGCAAGCACTTTCAAGTACCTACCACATTTAAGGCACTGTGCTGGGGGGTGGGGATACAAAAAGAAAAGAGAAACAGTTCCTGGTCTCAAAGAGCTTATGTGTACATGGCAGCACTCTTCAACAGGACTGGTAAGTTCTGCATGAAATGTGTCCTAAATAGACAATGAAGATACTGACTGGTGTAAGTGCTATACTCAAAAACGATCAGGGAAAATCATGTTACTATTTGGGAATAGTTATGTTTTGAGGGCTTAAGTTGTTATGACAACAATAGAGTCACCAGCCAGATTCAAAACGTTACTGCCAATTTAGGGATTTTGATTGTTCCAATAACTCAGAGCAGAGTATTCAATTTAACAGTTCAGGACGAGCTCAGTTCCAACAGTTTATAGATTCAGAATTCCCAAATACTGGAGGAAATGACATAAACATGATAAAGTTATAATCTAAGTGAATAGGAAGAACAGGAGGCAGGAAGGAAGCCAAAATCCAGATAATGGAATATTATCACTCCAAAAGTTCATTTGACTTCATCCAAGAGGGATTTGTCAACTTAAAGTTTTATCAACACATTATTTCATTAACATCTAAGTAATAGGCAAGAGTTTCACATAATGTTAAGTTCCTTGGTATTTACAGAGCATGATATAGTCTTTGGAAGGATTATTTTCATATTCAAAGCATGTTTTATTACAGTTGTTTGTGTTGGAGTTTGGCCTTGATAATTATAACAATAACTCTCAAGAGCTGAAAGAAGAAGGAATTTATATTCTTTTATAAAGTTCATTTAATTATGTCTACAGACACCAAGTCTATGTTGGAGCAGAAATGCAGCTGTTGGAGTTTTCTAAATTAAATTACTATAATTTATGTATCTATTAAAAGTTAATCCCCTCCCTGATTTTTTTTTCCTTGGTGGTGGTAGTTCCTTTCTATATCTTTTTCTGCATTTCAATCTTTGACACCAAAAACATAACTAATATACATTGTGTTTGACCTCAGTTATGTACTGATTGCTTTCCTTAGAGGAGAACTGTATTTATACAATATTTTCAGAATGTGAGACTTGAAAGGTCTGTGTGTGTGTGTGTGTGTGTGTGTGTGTGTGTGTGTGTGTGTGTTGTGCATATGTACATGTGTTTGTGTATAGAAAGTAAAATGCTTGGCCCAAGAACTTATCCCCAGGGGAATATAGTTCAGGCACCTAGGCTTCGGTGATAAGCTCAGTCCTTTCTGACTCCACAGAAATAAGATGAAGGGACTGAGTAGAATAAAACAAATCCTTCACTAGGCCTTAAGATTCTCCTGATCCTGAGGTCCAATGAGATGGGAATGAAGATGCTGAACATTACTAAACAATCATATTCTCGTTTCTCGTTTACTTCTTGTGATTACCTTCTGACAATAACTTGATGAATGCTACCATCCAGAGCCCTCTTTAACCATTCTGAAGCCTAGGTCAAGTACCAAAAAACAAGATAGAGCAAGTCCTCTGATTAGATTAGATATATCATTCAAGCATTTACTATACTGTGTGCTAGGTACTATACAAAATCTTGGTAATACATGCAAAAAGAAAGACAGTCCCTGCCCTCACAGAGCTTATATTCTAGTGAGGGAAGACTACATATGAAACGGAGCTGGCAAAGAGGAGTAGTCCTGACAGTGGGGTTAAATTAGATTAGATACATAGGTACTCCCCGAAATGGAGGGCTCAGGGAGGCCACAGGAGTGGATACATTACCAGACATCTCTGAGAAGGCTGCTGAGCTGGAAGTAGAAAAGTCAAAGTTGTTAGAGGGTAAGCTACACGAGAAGTTAGAAATAAACTTCTAAAGACAAATTTAATTGAGGAGAGATGGGTTAGGAAGAGCTCTGATCTAGAGACAAAAAGCCATGTAGGTAGAGACCCTAGGGTCCCATGAAATTGCTACTAGTGAGATCACTAAAGGGATGGGCTAAGGAGGAGCTGAGGAGCCTGAGGAGCAGTCACACAAGGTTGGGGAAGGAAACATACCATCTAGAAGCTTCCTATTTTAACTAATTATTCTTGCTAACTAAATACTAACTAAGCACAGTTGTTTCTGCCTCTAAATTTCAGTACCCTGAGACAAATCTCTCACTATTCTGCCCTACCTATACCTCTGTTTGTATCACTAAAGACAAATCACCAATTTTTCTTTCTTGCCTTAGAATATCCTTACAACAAGACTTCTCCAGGGAAAGGAAGAGATAGGTATGTCCCAAGAACCACACAATGTTAGATCCGGTAAGGACCTTACAGATTGTCTTGTCCAACATCTTCATTTTAATAGGAAACTGAGGCCTAAGAGGTGGAGTGAGTTGCCTAAGATAACACAGCTAACAAATGACAGGGATTCAATTCCAATTATTTTGACTGCAAATGCAACACTCTGCCCATCCCTTAAAAAGAACCTCTTTATTTGGAGTTGGGGAAGAGATCATTTCACCATATAGGCAAGCAGGCGCTCTCTCGCTCTGTCTCGTGCTCTCTCTCTCTCTCTCTCTCTTGCCCCTCCTCCTTCCTTGCCACCCTTCCTCTCTCTCCCTCCTTTCCTTTCACTTTTTCTCTGTCTGTCTCTGTTTGTCTCTTCTCATAAATTGACTGCTCTTGGCTCCATATTATTGCCAGAGCAATATTCCTAGCACACTTCCTACTCCACAGCAAAAACTGAAAAGTAGAGCATTCCTCCAATGATGCTGTTCACAAACCATCCACACCTGTGTATCATATGAGACTCTTGTTGATGTGCTCCCATAAGCTCACCTAACATAATGGGAACTTTTCTTGCCTTTTTTTCCATTTTTCAAAGACATCAATGGACCATGCAAGCTAATGGACCACATAGGCTATCAGTTATCCTTCATTCTCATCACATGACCAACTCATCTTATGTTTTGATTGTATATTTCTTTGGTAACATCCTTTACCACGAATTTTATTTACAGTTTCTTACTGTATACATAAAATTCTACAAATATCCATCATAAACCTCTCCATTGTCCTCTAAATGATGCTCTTTTAAGTTCTCCTTAGATGCTAGTATTGCATGACTTGCAGCCAGATGAAGGGACTAACACAATGGGCCTATGTTTTAGGGGAAAGTTTGGGGGCTTTAGAAGAGCTTTGTAACTTCCCAAAGGCAATCTAACTCCACTTCCTATTTAGTTAATTTAGATGGTTATCCATTTGTAGTATCTGTCCAAGATTTTATATATATATACACACACACACAAACACATACATACACACACACATATATATATAATATATACACACTATATATGTGTGTGTATATATATGTATGTATGTATATCAATGTGTATGTGTGTATGGATTGGTTATTATCTGAATATATAGCTTGTATACACACACACACACACACACACACACACACACATATCCAGATGGAAAAGCTTTATTTGTATTTCTTCCCTAACACTCATTTCAAAATATCTTGAGAAGACAACTGTTTCATCCTAAGAATATGGAAAGTCAATACCCATATCTTTAACTCTAGGCTGTTCTTTGAACCAAATTATAGAGAGACAAAGGTGCATAGTCAGCATAAAGAAGCAAGCTTTTGAAAAATGAAGTCTTTTTAAAAAATATTTCCAGGGCAGACTTACCCTAGCGAAAGATCAACAATGACAAGCAAGTAGGAAAAAAATGTAGTACAAGAACAGCTTTATCACATACCTTCTCCTTGAACAAAAAGGTAAATGTCATATTTAGGTTGAAAAAAGTTTCAGTGTTAATGGCCAATTGAAAGTGCAAGGAAGAAAAAAAAACAACCACCAACATTTCTAGAGCTTCCCAAATTAATCACTGATATTTGGGTAGATCTGTGGCACTGCCTCCATTAGTTATTCAACCCTTGTCTCAAGCTATCATCTTATAGTTCTCCTGTTCACAGCCAGGTTCTAAGAAAAGCTGTCTCCATTCATTGGTTCTGCTTCCTCACCTCCCACTCAAGTGTTAAGCCTTTTCAATATGCCATTTAACCTCACCACTTGACTGAAACTATTCTTTCCCAGGTTCTCAGCAAACTTTTAATTGCTAAATTTCATGGCCTTGTCTCAGTTCTCATCTTTCCCAATCCTTCTCTAGCTTTTGACATTGTTGACCATTTCAGTTTAATTCAATCAACATTTATTAAGTGTCTACCATTTAAAAGACCCTGGGGAAACAAAGACAGAATATAAGTAGTCCCTAACCTCAAAGTGTTGCTGTAAATTCCCATCTATTCCCATTTATTCCCATGGGCCTCTGAAACTCAACAGCGTCCAAAACAGAATTCATTATCTTTTCCTCCCAACCCTCCTCTAAACTTCTCTATTACTATTTTTTAATATTTTATTTTTTTCCAATTACATGTGAAAAACATTACATATATATATATATATAATACACACACACACACACACACACACACACAACACACACACACACACACATATTAAATTTTGAGTTCCAAACTCTCTCCTTCCTTTTCTCTTTCCCTTCTCCTCCCCTCTAATGGACAAGGCAGGTAATTTGATGTAGGTTATACATGTACAGTCATGTAAAATATTTCCATATTAGTCACTGTGAAAGAACACAGGCCAAAACAACAACAACAACAAACCAACAAATAAGATTTAAAAAAACAAAGTATGGGGGCAGCTAGGTGGCACAGTGGAGAGAGCACCAGCCCTGAGTCAGGAGGACCTGAGTTCAAATCTGGCCTCAGAACAAACACTTGACACTTACTAGCCGTGTGACCCTGGACAAGTCACTTAACCCCACTTGCCTAAAAAAAAAGAAAATTATCTTTCCTTGCCCCATTTTCCAGGTTAGTTGTTTTTCCAATATGATATTTCACATTTTCTTCTATTTTTTCATTCTTTTGATTTTGTTTTATTGTTTCTTGATGTCTTCTGGAGTCATTAGCTTCCACTTGCCCAATTCTAATTTTTAAGGAATTATTTCCTCCAGTGAGCTTTTGTACCTCTTTTTCCATTTGGGCAATTCTACTCTTTAAGGAATTCTTTTCTTCAGTGAATTTTTGTACCTTTTTTTCAATTTGGCTAATTCTGCTTTTCAAAAAGTTCTTCTCTTCAGTGGATTTTTGTGTCTCTTTTACCATTTGGCCTATTCTATTTTTTAAGATGATACTTTCTTCAGTATTTTTTGTGCTTCCTTTACCAAGCTGTTGATTCTTTTTTCATGATTGTCTTGCATTTTTTAATTTCCCAAATTTTCCCTTTATCTCTCTTATCTTATTTTTAAAATCTTTTTTGAAGTCTTCCAGGAATGGGGGGGGGGGTGGGAGAAGAGTAGCCTGAGACCAATTCATATTTTTCTTTGAGGCTTTACATGTAGCTGTTTTGACATTGTTGTCTTCTGAGTTGGCGGGGGGGATTGGGAGGGGAGAGATTAGTTTTAATTTATTTTAAATATACAGAGAAATATTTTCACAGGTTTGTTTGGGTTTTTAGACAAATTCATATAAATTACTTAGAGGCCTGATGGCACACCAAAACCAGGTCCTTTGGGTGGCTCAGTCAAAGATGTAAGACCACTAGCTGGCTCACAAGAGAAACATCCACTCCTTGGTCCAGGTTTTGGAACATTGCCTGCTTTCAGTTCATCAATTATCTCTTCAATACCAGTAGGTGTCAAATCTTCACAGTAATTTTCATTTATTTGAACCACTGGTGCATTTACACAGGCACCTAAACATTACACTTCTATTAGCAAGAAAAGCTTGTCAGGTGTAGTTTCTCCCAAACTTAATACCAAGCTTTTTCTGAATGGCCTCCAGTATGCTGTCAGAATCTCAAAGCATACAAGGTGTAGTGTTACACACTTGAATATGATACTTTCCAATTGGCTTT